TTTAAAGAAAAATCGGCCGGTTTTCTCCCCATCTATGGCCTGCATTAGTCTGTGTGAAAGTTATAGAGTCTACAAGCTATGGCACCAATCATTGCAAATTGATCACACCTGATCACACCTGAAGTACTGATGGCCTATTTCATTTCTTGAAGCCCTAGCATGCTAGGAAAGTACAAATAGCCCTCAAAAGACCCCTTTTTGGAAAATAGACAGTCCAAAGTATTTAGTAAAAGACATGGTGAGTTTTTTGAAGTTGTAATTTTTTCCCACAATTATTTGGAAAATGAAGAAATTTTTTTTTTTCACACATAAATGTCAAAATAATAAGTTATTTCTCACACCTGGCATAGACATACTTGCAATTGCACCCCAAAACAAGTTCTGTTACACCTCCTGAGTATTGTGATACCACATATGTGAGAAATTTCCACAGCCTGGCCACATACAGAGACCCAATGTCCAAGTAACACCTTCACAAGTTGTAGGAGCATAGAAGGGGCATAAATTACACATCTAACTTCCTGACTACCTATCACAGTTTTGAAGGCCCTGGAGCACCAGGACGATAGAAACACTCACAAAATTACCCCATTTTGGAAAGCAAACATCCCAAGGTATATTTTATCAGGCATAATGAGTCTTTTGAACATGTTGTTTTTTTTTCCAAAAGTTTTTAGAAAATGTGGAAAGAAAAATAATGCATTCTGCAAAATGCATTCTGCTACTCCTTCTGAGTATGGCAATACCACATGTGTGAGACTTTTCCACAGCCTGGCCACAAACAGAGACCCAACTTCTAAGTAGCACCTTCATGCATTCTAGGAGCATAAAAGGGGCATAAATTACACATCTAATTTCTTGACTACCTATTACAGTTTTGAAGGCCCCAGGCACTAGGACAATGGAAAAAAAAAAACAAAATTACCACATTTTGGAAAGAAAACACTCCAAAATATATTCTTTGAGGCATAATGAGTGTTTTGAACATGTAATTTTTTTCCACGTTTTTAAAAAATGTGGAAAGAAAATGAAAAAGTGTTTTTTTTTTTTTTTACACAAAGTTGTCAATTTATAGGATATTTCTTCTATACTCGAAAATACATTTTGCTACTCCTCCTGAACATGACAATACCACATGTTAGACTTTTTCACAACCTAGCTAAGAAAGGATAAGCAAAAGATTTCCTGTGGTTTTAGGAGAGCATTGGACCAGGAAGCAGGCAACAGCCACAGGATTCGCCCAGGCAGCAGGCAGGAATATGGTGGATAAACAAGCCAGGGTAAGAAGAGGCAGCAGGCTGAGATCCAGGCAGAAGGAAGAAACATGGTCATAAAAAGTCCTAGGTCAGTATAGGCAGCAACCAGAGATATGATTAGCACAGCCAAAGTATTGGTCCAGGCAGTAGTCAGGAACATGGTCCGAAAAAGTCTTGGATCAGTACAGGTAGCAAGAGGAGATATGGTCAGCACAGTCAAAGTATTGGTCCAGGCAACAGGCAAGAACATGGTCCATAAAAAGTCCTGGGTCAATGCAGGCAGAGATATGATCATCACAAAGTATTGGTCCAGGCAGCAACATCAGGCTTAGGGCCTTGGTCAGGTAAGACCAGGGCACAGGGGTAGAGGCTTCGTCCCACCCAATCTCTTCGAAGCCTCCGGACAAACAGACCCTGTTCCGAGAATTACAAAACCCGGAGAAAACAAAAACAGTTTTTTCTCTAATCTGTAGCCCTTCACATATGTGAGACCCCTGTGTTATCTTGAACCCACTACTGTAGTAGCAGGGCAAAAGATCAATCCAAGCAGCAGGCAAAAAAATTTGTCAATTTAACAGGCCGAGGTCAGTCCAGGAAGAAGGCATAAATGGGGTTGATAATCCAGATGGCAGGCAGAAGCATAGTCGATAAAGAGGCCATGGTCAGTTCAGGTGGAAAGCAGAAATTTGGTTTAGAAGTAATTCAGACGGCAAGCAGAGGCATTGTCAGTAAACAGGCCAGGGTCAATTAAGGTGGAAGGCAGAGGCATGGTCAATCAAGGTAGCAGGCAAAAGATCAGCACAGATAATAAAAATGGGGAAATTGCAGGCTGTTAAAAATATGGGGACCCAATATCTTACTAAAGTGTGATAACGTCTGAAGCAGTCTCCGATGCATAAGCCTGGTTGGGAGGGACATTGGGGACAATGAAAACTAGTGTCTCTCCTCACTCCCCCTCTGTTGCATACCTTACATTTTCTTCAGCATCTTCCTCCTGTTTCTGATGGTGGAATACTCTCAGGGAAATGGCCTTCATGAAGTCTGCTAACAAAATCTGAGCGAATGGTTTTTGGTGGAGATCCTTGCTGATAGATTAGGGCAGTGATGACATCTTATATAAATTTGAGGAAGGGGGTAGGTCTTTCCATTGATTTTGATAGGTGACGTATGCATTAAAAATGGCCATGTGGAAAAAGTATATTGCAACTTTTTTGTACCAGTAGAGCGACTTCCTTGTTGATAAGTATGGCTGCAGCATCTGATCGTTTAAATCCACCCCCCCCCATGAATTGATTATAATTGTGGATACACTCTGGCTTTTGGATGGGACCTTATCTTCTGTGTATTTCCACCATGATGTCATTATGGATAGTGGAAAGGGCATAAATATCTCTCCTATCCCTCCACTTCACGGCCAGCACTTCCTCCTTCCTCAGACTTGCAGACTCCCCTCTTTGTAGAATTGTGTTCACTAAATGCTGTGGGAAGCCCTTCCTGTTTGTTCGGGTGGTACCACAGACCATCGTTTTCTCAAGGTACAGGAGGCAGAAAAGGGGCTGTTAGGGCTCCGGTATGACCAGAGGTATGTGAACTGACGCAGGGAAACGCAGGCTTCAGATATGTTATAAACAATGTAATTTATTAATACTAACAATACATAAACGCAGTGCAATACGAAAACCTAACACAGTGCAAACGAACCAAACCAAACCACCCACAGATAACAATACATACAATGCAAGCGAGTCAGGCAGGCCGGGTCAATAACAATCGGGCAGGTAGGAACAGGAGGAGCAGGCAGAGAGTAGTCAGGTCACGAGCCGGGTACAGCAACTAACGGGCAGGTAGGTACAGGGGGTCAGGCAGAGAATGGTCGGGGTCACAAGCCAGGGATCAAACAGGAGAAGTCAGCAGAGGTCCGGATCAGGCAGGGTCGGCAGCGAGTCAGGCAGGAACAGGAACAGGAACAGGAATGCAGGTAACAAGATACAGGGGCCCATAGAAAAACACACACCAAGGCACAGACTGCAGGTCTGGCCATCCCTTAAATACACCTGCAATCAGCCTCAGGTGTTTTGGCTGACTGCAGGGTTGAGTCTCTGATTGCTGAGAGCACCCGCTGGCCAGCCCTGGTACTGCAGCCCACAAGGCAGGTGAGTCCCACCATTATTGGCAAGTCCATTCCTGACAGGGGCAGGCTTGTATAATAATTGTCTAGGTAGATGTGATACCCCTTTTGGAAAAGTCCTATCATGCCTCTGCCTTTGTCAGGAATGGACTCGTCAATAGTGGTGGGACTCACCTGCCTTGTGGGTTGCAGTACCAGGACTGGCCAGCGGGTGCTCTCAGCAACCAGAGGCTCACTCCTGCAGTCAGCCAAAACACCTGAGGCTGATTGCAGGAGGTGCATATAAGAAATGGCCAGACTTGCAATCAGGGCTTTGGTGTATGTTTCCCAAGAGCCCCTGTACCTGCCTCCTGTCTGCTTCCTGTCTGATCCTGCTTGATCCCTGACTCTGATTGTACTCCGCCTGACCTGACCTCTGCTATTCCTGACCACTCTCCAGTCTGCTCTCCTTTGGTACCTTGTCTGCCTGATTGTTCCTGACCCGGCCCATCTGACTACGCTTTGCCTGCTCCTTTGTACCTTGCCTGCCCATTTGCTACCGACCCAGCCTGCCCGACTACGCTTAGTATTGTTATTTTGTTATCTGTTGGGGGTTTTGGTTTGGTTTGTTTGCACTGTGTTTATGTTTAGTCTTGCACTGCGTTTATGTATTGTTTAATCTTAAATAAATTATATTGTTTATACTATATCTGCAGCCTGCGTTTCCCTGTGTCAGTCCACACACCTCTGGTCATACCCAGAGCCCTGACATTACACCAAGGCCAATCCTGACCAGAAGTGGCTGCACAGGGAAGCCATCTTGGCTTATTGTTGCTGGGAAGGATGAATCTTGATGAGGTGGTGTATTTGTCTCTGCTAGTGTTTGATGACAGAGATTATGCTTATCAGACTCTGAAGGAGTATACCCGGGATCAACTACTAGAGTGCATAAGGATCGCTCATTGCCTAGTAGATCAGGGCACAGAGTTCTCTGAGGTGCAACCATTGATTCAGGTTTGTGCAGAGCTGGTTTCATCTGGTACCCCCGAAAGCAGGGATGAATTTTTGCCGCCATTTAGTGCCGACCAGGTAGAGTCCCTGGTATGGTTATTGGAGGATGATGTGGATTACTTTCTGGAGTGTTATTCTGCATGTTCACAACAGGTACTAAGAGACTGTATAAACGCAGTGCAGTCTTTGACCAGACAGGCTTTGTGTAAGCTGAGCTTTGTTCAACCCATACTGCAGACATGGTCAGACTTGTTACACCCAGCCTCAGTCAGCTTGCAACGTCATTCCTCTGCTCAAGGCACTCTTCCTGCATCCCCGACAGCACCCCCAGTGACGGCCCAGTATACTCTGCTAATTACCACATATCAGTCCCCTCTCCCACTCGCTGCACCTATCCTTTCTTTAACCCTGTAAAGAAGTCCTCTGTAGCAACTGCTCCCTCCTTTGTTCCATCCCCCAGCTCTTCTCTGCCTACAGCTGCTCTATTCACTTACAAACCTGCGCTTACTTCCTGTGCTCCAGTAACTAAAACCAGGAAAAAGCGAAAATTCTTTCCAACCAGTACCATCCTGCCAGTATCCAAACCGGTCAGCCTGCCGTCTGAGAACCCGCCTTCCGTGGTTCAGCCTGGTGCCCCGGCACCTGCAATTCAGCCTGATACCCTGATGCCTGATGACCCAGTGTACGCTACCCAGCCTGATGGTTCTACCCAGCCTGATGTTCCTACCCAGCCTGTTGAACTGATCGAGCCAGATGACCTGTTGCCAGATGACCCGGTGCCCGCTGTCGAACCAGATGACCCGGTACCCGCTGTCGAGCCAGATGACCTGATGCCAGATGACCCGGTGCCCGCTGTCAAGCCAGATGACCCGGTGCCCGCTGTCGAGCCAGACGATCCGGTGCCCGCTGTCGAGCCAGACGAACCGATGCCTGATGACCCGGTGCCCGCTGTCTTGCCAGATGACTCGATGCCCGCTGTCTTGCCAGATGACTCGGCGCCTACTGTCTTGCCAGATGACTCGGCGCCCGCTGTCTTGCCAGATGACTCGGCGCCCGCTGTCTTGCTTGGCGACCCGATGCCCGCTGTTTTTCCAGATGACCTGGTGCCCGCTGTTTTGCCAGTTGACTCGGTGCCCGCTGTCTTGCCAGATGACTCGGTGCCTGCTGTCGAGCTTAATGACCCGATGCCTGCTGTTTTGCCAGATGACTCGGTGCCCGCTGTCTTGCCAGATGACTCAGTGCCCGCTGTCTTGCCAGATGACTCGGCGCCCGCTGTCTTGCTTGATGACCCGATGCCCGCTGTCTTGCCAGATGACCGGGTGCCCGCTGTTTTGCCAGTTGACTCGGTGCCCGCTGTTTTGCCAGATGACTCGGTGCCCCCTGTCTTGCCAGATGACTCGGTGCCCGCAGTCTTGCCAGATGACTCTGTGCCCGCTGTCGAGCTTAAAGACCCGATGCCCCGCTGTTTTGCCAGATGACTCGGTGCCCGCTGTCTTGCCAGATGACTCGGTGCCAGCTGTCGAGCTTAAAGACCCGATGCCCGCTGTTTTGCCAGATGACTCGGTGCCCACTGTCTTGTCAGATGACTTGGTGCCTGCTGTCTTGCCAGATGACTCGGTGCCCGCAGTCTTGCCAGATGACTCGGAGCCCACTGTCTTGCCAGATGACTCGGTGCCTGCTGTTCCGCCTGGTGGCCTGGTGCCCGCTGCTCCGCCTGGTGGCCCGGTGCCCGCTGCTCCGCCTGGTGGCTCGGTGCCCAGCCTGATGTGCCTCTTTCCGGTGCCCAGCCTGATGTGCCTCTGTCCGGTGCCCAGCCTGACGTGCCTCTGTCCGGTGCCCAGCCTGACGTGCCTCTGTCCGGTGCCCAGCCTGATGTGCCTCTGTCCGGTGCCCAGCCTGATGTGCCTCCGTCCGGTGCCCAGCCTGATGTGCCTCTGCCCGGTGCCCAGCCTGATGTACCAGTCCTTAATATCCCGCCAATTACCGGATCCGGGCGGTGGAACATTTTGCCCATTTAGGATGGTTTGGAGCGTCCTGAGGCCGCTCCTTGAGGGGGGGTACTGTCAGGAATGGACTCGCCAATACTGGTGGGACTCACCTGCCTTGTGGGTTGCAGTACCAGGACTGGCCAGCGGGTGCTCTCAGCAACCAGAGGCTCACTCCTGCAGTCAGCCAAAACACCTGAGGCTGATTGCATATAAGGAATGGCCAGCCTTGCAATCAGGGCCTTGGTGTATGTTTCCCAAGAGCCCCTGTACCTGCCTCCTGTCTGCTTCCTGTCTGATCCTGCTTGATCCCCGACTCTGATTGTACTCCGCCTGACCTGACCTCTGCTATTCCTGACCACTCTCCAGTCTGCTCCTTTGGTACCTTGTCTGCCTGATTGTTCCTGACCCGGCCCATCTGACTACGCTTTGCCTGCTCCTTTGTACCTTGCCTGCCCATTTGCTACCGACCCAGCCCTGCCCGACTACGCTTAGTATTGTTCTTTTGTTATCTGTTGGGGGTTTTGGTTTGGTTACACTGTGTTTATGTTTAGTCTTGCACTGCGTTTATGTATTGTTTAATCTTAAATAAATTATATTGTTTATACTATATCTGAAGCCTGCGTTTCCCTGTGTCAGTCCACACACCTCTGGTCATACCCGGAGCCCTGACACCAGGTCCCAGACAATTTTTCCACTTGTGCCAATGTAAGTTGGGCACCCAGGGGGCTGGAGCTGGGAGTCTTTGCCTTCATACATGCAAAAGGCATGCACATATCCCATGGCACTTTCACACAGCTTCTTGAGCTTCAGTCCATACCTGGCCCTTTTACTGGGAATGCATTGCTTGAATCCCAGACGGCCAGTAAAGTGGACAAGAGATTCGTTCACACAGATATTTTGGTCAGGGACATAAAGTTCAAAAAAATATTTTAGAAAAAAAATTAATTAGGGGGTGAATTTTATACAGTTTGTCATAGCCTGGCTGATCTCGGGGAGGGCACTGGGATTATCACTGAAATGCAGGAAGCGCATTATCATGTCATAACGTGACCTGGACATTACAGATGAAAAGATGGGAATGTGATGGATGGGGTGGGTGGACCAATATGAATGTAATTAATTTTTTTTTTGTAAGCCCCATGTTGATCGTAAGGCCCAAAAACAATGTAAGCTCCTCTACTGTTAGCCGTCTCCAGTCTAATGGAATTGAATAGCATGAATTAAGGTTGTCTGCAATATATTGTTGGGCAAATAGGTTAGTCTGATCTACAACTGATTGAAGGAATTTGTCAGGGATCCCCTCGATCCCCGCCGCGATGGTCCCGGCGCAGGCACAGTGCACCGCCCTGTGCAGGGACACGGGCACTAGGTCTGGGCTGGCCGCGGCGTTCGAGTTCGCGCATGCACAGTAGAAGCCGCAGCCGCCCGCTGGGCACCAATGGCAGCGCAGGGCGGGATATTTAAATGGCCCTGAGCTGTCATTCAGTGCCTTCTGGTCTTTCCTGCATCCTGTGATTCTGCGAACCTGTGCCCTGTAAGTTATTGACCCGGATTGTACCTGACCTTGCCTATTTCTCCTGTCCTGACCCTCGCTTTGCCTGACCTCTCTCCTGGATGCCCCCTATTGGATTTGACCTGCTGTTGCTGACCTGGCGTGTGACCCGACCATTCTCTGCCCGCTGCCTTGTACCTTACCGTCCTCTCTGTTACCGACCCGGCCCGTCTGACCTTGCTCATCCATCCATCCCTCGCAGAGGGGTCTTCTGACCTCCTCATATCAGACTCTTTCCCGTGGGAGCCCTTGGCGCATACCACTACCACTGACGGACGTACCCAGTAGTCACGACCTGGTCTCGGGGGGCTCCAAGTCCATCCCCACCATCAGGGGCCCTGGTGAACAAGCACCCTGGGACTTAGATTCCGTGCGCTGGGGACGCCTATTCAGTGGAGTGCTAGTGGTACCGCCGGGCGGTCCCTTACAGGTCCGGTATCAATGGGGTTAATTGTGTGCTGTGATGCGTTGGCTGGAAAGGAGGTCAGATTCTGTTATGAAGGTATATAGATGAGCAGAACATAGCTCTGTTTTGGTTCTGTGGGAAAGGAGGGAAGGCTACACATCCTGCACTGTGATTGTTAGTGAAGGAGGGAGGACATGGAGTTGGGGAGTGTAAAGTTACCAGCCACATGTATGGGAAGTGATTGAGCCAAAAGGTATGCACGCCATTGTACAGCCTAAAACAATGCTTAGTTTATGCTACCCCAAGTAGACTATTATCAGTAATGCCTATACCACAGTGACCTATGTTCAACTAATGAGTTCATTATGGACCAGTGATTTGTATAGAGAATGACTGTGTAGATGACATCTCTGATGGGGAGCAATGTAACATCCATGTACTAATATAGTGAATTACACCTCAGTAATCAAGTTCATTTTTTCTGCAAAATCTGGTCTGGTCACCTAATGAAGATAACTCATGAGTGCCCACACAGTGAGCATCTGGGAGGTATGTTTGGGCCCTGACTCTTGGGGTCTGGCGTGATATTCCAGTGCTGGTACTGGGCCTGTCATCCTGGGGTCTAGCTCCATTGGTGTTTGCTGACTGACCATTTGGGTGTAATGGCATTGGTACATTGGTGCTGCTCATGGTTGCCTGGTCTTCAGAGCATCTTACTCTTTCAGGAGGGACTGCTTCTTCTTCCAATACGGTCACTGATCCACTGCTTTCTATTGGCTCGTAATCCAAATCGGAATCGGACGGTGAGAGCTCCCCGCTGCTCTCGTCCGTCATGCTGAGGATTTTGAAATTTGGAAAGCCTCCTCACTAGAGTTGTATTTTTTTGACATCTTGGCAGTATGTCAGGCAACTGTGATGGGTGCACTGCTGATGGGCTGAAGTGATGGTGGCTCTGTTATGGGTACTCTGATTAGGCTGAGCTGATGACAGGTACACTGACAGGCTCCACAGGTGTATGCGCTGACAGGTACACTGATAGGCTTCCCTTATGGATGTGCTGACAGGTACACTGATGGGCTGCTGGACAGATACTCTGATGGGCTCTGCTGGACAGGTACGCTGATGGGCTCTGCTGGACAGGTACGCTGATGGGCTCTGTTGACAGGCTGCATGACAGGTACACTGATGCACTGTGCTAGCAGGTATGTGATGGGCTGTGCTAGCAAGTATGCTGATGGGCTGCATGAAAGGTACACTGATGGGCTGTATTGACAGGTACGTGATGAGCTGTACAACAGGTACTGCGATGGGCTGTGCTGACAGGTACGTGATGGGCTGTGCTGACAGGTACACTGATGGGCTGTGCTGACAGGTACACTGATGGGCTGTATGGCAGGTACACTGATGGGCTGTATGACAGGTACACTGATGGGCTGTATGACAGGTACACTGATGGGTGTATGACAGGTACACTGATGGGCTGTATGACAGGTACACTGATGGACTGGCGACAGGTATCAGGTACGCTGATGGACTGGCGACAGGTACCAGGAATGCTGATGGGCTGGCGACAGGTACACTGATGGACTGGTGGCAGGTAGGATGATGGGCTGGCAACAGGTAGGTTGATGGGCTGGCAACAGGTAGGTTGATGGGCTGGCAACAGGTAGGTTGAGGGGCAGTTGTGACAGGTACACTGATGGGCAGCTGTGATAGGTACACTGATGGGCAGCTGTGACAGGCAATCAGGGCAATGTGAAGTCAATCGGCAATGTGATGCACAATACTGATAGCTGTAACTCACTGTTCCCCTTCTTCTCCTCACACAGAATCCATGTGTTAGGAGGAGAAGCAGTAACAGCAAGTTACCGCTGTTTGTTTATACTTGTGATTGGCTGTGATAGGACACAGCCGATCGCAAGGTAAACAGCCAATTTCATTGCTGCGCGCTCTGGGGGCATGTCCAGGAGGACACCATATGGCGTCCTCAAGGAGAGACGAGCTGTTTTGCCAGTGACCTTTGTGCCTTAGGTTGGGCGGGAACCGGTTAAATGATAAGTTAACCTTTGGGAACATGTTACATGTTCCACCCGTTTT